CGCTACCCATCTTGAAAACTGTCAGAAATCTTTCAGTCACAAAGCAAATGCGTCTGTGCTTCCAAGTGTTTATGTGTGTCAGGCTCTACACAGCACCTCAAGCAGGAGCAGTGTGCACAGATGACCCTGGACTTGGCCTGGCTTTAGACCAGGCCAATCAAGTTGACCAGCCTATCAGGTACCACTGAAGTCACCACAAACTTGCAGTTCAAGAAGAGCAACTACTCCAGAGCAAATGAATGAAACCATAACTGTTTCATGGTTGGATTCTCTGAAATGCCACCAACAAAGCTGCAGTTGTTCCTCGGGGCAAGATTTATAGAAACAAGAATGTTTGGACTCATTCTTTGTTACAAGCATCTTATTTAAAGGCCTCAGTTTCTCCATCTGTGAAATTCAGGGACATTGTGGATAATATTATTATTAATCACCTTGATGTAATGGGAGGGTATATTGATTATTTAATTCTTTTTTGGTTTAAAAAAAAAAAGCCTCAGAAGAGTCAGGTACCATTGTCATCCTGAGGTAGAACTGCTTCTTTGTGAATAATCATCTAGATAAGCATATTCCAGTAAAATCATGCCTGCCATTCACCAGAGTTTGGAGAGCATTATAACATTTTATGGGCCACATCCTGCACCTGTTGCCTTGGTTGACATATGGGATTTAAAGAAATTTTGTGATACTGTCAGAAATTTCAAAACTAATCTCTAGAAGCTACATCTTCCAGACTGGATATTTTAATAAAAACAAGACATTCCATACTGTCATGTGATTTTTTTTTTAGTTTTTGATTTACATGAAACAATTCTCCCTTTGCTTGTTTCTGTCAATTACTACAGAAAATCACTTGCCAGATGCACACCAAAAAGAATATATTGTATATATCAAATGTATTGAAAGGGATGTTATCATACCCTTTGCCTCTGGACTTAACCACAAAAATAAACCACATGCTTAAATTTAAATTATTATTATTGGTAGTAATTATTTATTCAGCCACATGTTTTAGAATCTATTACACGTCAGGCACTACTCTAGATCCTGGTAATTTACAAACAAGGTGCACAGCCTTCCTTTTCTTCTGTGGAGCTCACAGTTTAATGGAGGACAGAACTGGTAATTACAAGGCCATGTGCAAGTGCTGCTGGAGCTCAGCAGAAGATATTTCACCTCACCTGTGGAAGCCAGTGAACACTTCTCAGAGTATGGGTGAGGGTTCAAATTGGAATTAAGAGAAAAAAGAAAACCAAATGTGCAATGCAAGTACCACATAATAGAACAGTATAGGGTAGAGCGATGCTTTGGAATCCCTGAAGACAGTTTCCTGTGGCTGAAGCACAGGATTGCAAGAGATCAAAGAAGGAGGAAGAGGTCTTATATGGCGTCCAAAGGTTGGGCTTTCTCCCAAGAGTGATGTGCAATCATCAACCGCTCTGGCAGCTTTATAGGAGTCAGAGAGACCAGGAAGAAGACTATTGCACTGAGCAGATAGCCGATGGCAACTACCTTAATTAGACAGTGGTAGAGGAATGAGGATGAGGAGATACAAGAAATGGCTATAAGGGTAGTGCTTGCTGACTTGGGGAGTAGAAAGAAGAGAAGTGGATTTCTAACCTGAGTGACTTAGTAAGTGGTAATCTCATGTAGGCAGTAATGAAGAAGGTAAGCACTAAGGAAAGAAAGTGGTGAGCCAGACATAGGCTTGTTGGATTTCAGGTACCCAGGGAGACGGATCAAGATAGACAATAAGATATAAAAAGGTAACATACAGATGTGGACCTCCATGAAGAGATCTGACGTATAAAATAACTTGGAAACCATCAGGTGACTTTAGATGACCTACCCTAGGCCATATAGTGTATACCTACAGGAAGGAAAGGGCCTGAGCGTGGAACTCTAAATTACTCTTCTGTTACAAGGAGGAACAGTGGAAAGGCTCCCAAGACTTTGAGACTGAAAGTCAGAGAGGTAGGAGGAGGAATAGAGCCAGTCAAAGTCAAAGTAACAAAAAAATTAAGACTATCAGTAATACCAAGTGCTGCCAAGAGATCAAGTAAGTGGAAGATTGAACACAGAACCTCACACATGCTCAGCAAGTGTTCTACCACTATCCCCAGTTTATCATCTTTGACACCTAATTCTCCATGCTTATAGGGTACAGTGTGATATTTCAGTGCATGTATACAATGTCTGATTATCAGTTTGGGGTAATTGGCATATATGTCACCTACACATTTATCTTTTCTTTGTAGGGAGTATTCAAAATCCTATCTACTGTGTAGCTATTTTGAGATATTCAACTTAATATTGTCTACCATAGTTATCCTCGTGTGTTATAGGCTTATCCAACATTTTGACTTGCCTGGGCTATACAAAGTGAATAGGAATTGTCTTGTAGCATGTATCAAATATATAACAGCTAATGTTTATAAGTAATAAAAGTTCCTTTTAAAAATACTATTATTACAACATTTTTAAGAAAGAAGGCAAGCAAGCTAAAAGCCATAGGTTGAACACACCTGTAAGTTATTCCTCCTGACTGCTTCCCTGCGCCCGTTAACCATCCTTTGTCCATCCTTCCCTCCCCACACCCTTCCCACCTTCGGTTAAACCTAGTGAGATACCTGCCCTTGGAATTTCTAACACCTCCAATCATTGTTAGGTAGAAAAAGTTTCAGAACCTAATTAGAGATATTATGGCATTGATCAAGCTGTCTTTAGCAGAACCAAAACCCAGCTCTGAATGTCATGAATATGAAATATCTCCACTGAGAAGCCTTTCCTTTAAGACACAAGAAGTAATGGAATGGATGTTCCAGTTGTGGGTCTTAACAGGCATTTTGAAGTATGCAAAAGAGTTTTAGCTCATCTACTCCCACAAGTGAAGACCTGGATAAATCCCTTATAGCTTGGGCTTGAGATTTTCATCCCCGTTACAAGTGCGTTTAACTCACTGACGTCTGATAAGACTCACCCTGCCTAGGTCTACTGGATTTGTTGCCATCTTCAGAGATGCCTTTTGGTTTCCCTTCCCCTAGACTTCCCATGTTGTGCCTTCCTTCCCACTTATCTAGCTCCTGCAGTTTCCACATCAGGAAGGCCCTGCTAGGGAAAGAACCCATGGCCTCTGTTATGGATGGAGGTTGTGTCAGGGAAATAAGAAATCAGATCCTGAGAAAATCTGGACTGCTCTCTTCCAGCTAATTTTCCTAGGCTTTTCACCTCCCTCTGCTGAGAGCTTACCCTCCATGGCACTTCTCTTAGTCAAAACGGGCCTTTGTTCCAACAGATATCTGAGAGCCTGGAAAAATATGAACAGTATTTGCACAAAGATGAAAGGCCTAAAAGCAGCCACGGTGAAGTCAATGACATGCTCCACCTCCCTGGTGTGGGTGTGAATATTTGCTCATTCATTCATTGAGCAGCACAGCTGTTCATTCAGTGACTTACTAAGTGCCTACTATGTACTGTGGTCATTGTGTTCACCTAGGACACAGAAGTAAAGTGGTGAGCATAATAAACCTGGAGTCTGCCTTGTGAAATTGGTAGTCCTAAAGGGGTGTACATAAAAGCATAGTGAAAAATACACAACATGCTCATAACTGCAGATTGTGAAAGCACCATTAAAGAAATTGAACATGACAATAAGAAAGTATGACAGGGGCTCTAGATTTAGATCCAGGAGTCAAGGAAAGGCTCTGATCTAAATCCAGGAAGTCGTACTTAGGAAGTAATACTTACGGAAGCAATACTTAGATTGATGAAAGTACAAACAGGAGTTGGCCATGGTAGGAGCAGAGAGAAGGGCCTCTAGACAAATGGAACAGCACTGCTAAAACCCTGACATGGAGGAGTGCAAGGTGGATGGAGGTAGGTGCAGGGAGACAGCAAGACGAGATGGAAAGGTAGGCAAGGCCCGGCCTTGCAAACCAGGAATACATGAGGTCATGGGAGAAGCATGAGGTCAAAAGTTTCAAGAAGAGTGCTAGCAAAATATTAAGTGAAGGACTGAGATGTACATAGTGGCTAGGTCCAGACCATGGCCAGAAGTCATCCAGGAGTGGACTGAAGCAGTTGGGAGAAAGGGACTGAAGATAGCCTGTAAAGTTGAGGCAGAAATTGGAAGAAAATGTGGGATAAAAGGAAGCTTTGTTTTTTTTATTCTTTGCTTACTGATGAGAGGTAATGAATATGTTTCATAAAGATAGGAAAGATCTCACAGAAAGTGAAAGGTCAGGATGCAAGGGACTTCTGGGAGTGAAAAAGGTATCAGAAGAGAGTGGAAAGGTGGCTTTGTGGCTTTGGTGGCAGAAAAGTAGCAGCTGCTATCTGGTGCCATCTAGGAGGCAGGGTTATCACTGAGAACAGAACAGGATCAGGGGAGAGGAATGGAAAAGGGCAGACATGACTTCTGCGAAATGAGAGAGGCTCACTTCCTCTGGGCCTGGTGAAGAGGCTGCTTCCTTGTTCCTGTCTGCTTTTCTTTCCTACTCACCACCTGCCCTGTAGATCCTCTCAGCATTCCTAAAAGTCTCCCCTTTTGTGTTCCCAGTTTTCACTTACTTGCAGCTTTAAATACCCACAATCAACTGTGCTCCAAAAATATTACACAAAAAATTCCAGAAATAAATAATTCATGTGTCTTAAGTTGTATGCTGTTCTGAGCAGTGTGATGAAATATCATGTCATCTTGCTGTGCCCCACTTGGTTCTGAATTATCCCTTTGTCCAGCATATCCAAGTTATATACGCTTAGTCACTTAGTAGTCCATGGCAGACCACGGTAGTACTCATGTTCAAATAGTATAAAGGGTTTAGTACTGCCCTCAGTTTCAGGGGAGTCTTGGAACCTATCCCCCAAGATATCAGGGAACTACCATGTGTAAGAGTGGTGTTCTGGCTTTGTTTGCTGTGCTTTTCAAATGCCAAATTGTACCGCTTTATAGAATTTCCTATAAATCTGAGTATTCTGACATAGGAACAATACTTTCTGCTCGAATAATTTTACAATCGACTTTATTTCAGATTAGTTTCATAATAGTTCCTTCATTTCTTCCATGCTTATTATCTCTTAGATTACTTATACCCTTTGCCTCATCATTTGAAAGGTCCCTGACTTGTGATATCACGCTTCTATTTTTTTTTATAACTACCTGTCACAATTCAGTCTGTCTTCCATTCAGTTTTTATAGGGCATATTATGAAGTTGGGATCTTTCATATAAGCTCATTTGCAAAAACTCCAAATACTCCAAATTTCTTGGCATGCCCACCCCCTCTATCTCACTCTGAGGCAGCATTTTTGGTAATAACTAGAATGTCTGTTAGAATTTCTCTTTCCTTCTCTCTTTCACTCCTGTTATCCACCTGCAGCTTTTGTCTCTTGGCCTTGTAGTATGTTGAGTTTCTGCCTTGTGTTTGATGCTCATGCCCTCTTCTCCTTTCTGTAATCATTCCAGGTCCTTGTTATTTTTTTCTGGATACCCACAGTCCTTTTCTTTCTTCTAATACAGTCCGAAGCAGGGGAGTCTGTAAGAAAGAATCATTGAACAAGATGATAGACACTGGACAAGAAGTCTGTAAATCCATGCCAAGTATCTTTAGAAATGGGGATGGATAAATAAAACAGCTAACATTTTGTGAGCATCGTCCTGTATTAGGTGCATTTCTTTGTCCATCTTTTATTAAACTTTATAGTAAACCTGAGGTAAGAAATAGTTTATTTTATAAACAGGCTGACCTTAGAATGACTCAATAACTTTTGACAAATATTCTAGTGTCCAGACTGGAATTCATCATTCTTTCCTGCCTAAAGTTCTTTTTTTTTTCCATACTAGCAAAATACTTTTATTATTTTTGTAATAATAAAACAAAGAAAGTAAAGACTTCTTTTTGGTGTATATTAGAGTTAAGGGAAGTGGAAAAATAAAGGGATTAATAGGACTTTTATGTACTTCTGAGGACCATAAAAAGTTAGCAGTACTAATTGCCATAAAACTTATAGCTCCCCAAAAGCAAATATATAAAGGATCATAGTTTTAAAATTTATAAAAGTAAAAAATATACAGTTGGAAGCTCTAGCGCTTATTCCATTGTCAATATAAAACTGTAAATATTTATTTACACAAAGCACATGTGTATAACGAAAGTCCAAGCGCCCCTTCTTCTGAGTTGTGGCTCTAAGCAGATGGGGATGTGCATGGCAGCAGTCATCCCCTCCCGACTCCCCAAAGCCAGCTTCATAAATAAAGCCGCGAGCAGCTCCCTGGAGGGCCCCAAGAATCACATTTTATTGCTATGACACTGCAGCAAGTGAGAGGCCTCAAGCAGACAGCGGTGGGGGCGGGTGGGCACCCTGGGGGACTGAGGCAGGAGGTGGCCTGGGGAGGCGGGAGAGGAGCAAGGATCCAGAACCAGCCTTCGGCCTGCTTTTGGTAGAAAAACTGCTGAAGTCACGCTCTTCCCCAAGCTTGGGGAACTTACTCCGAGGGCGAGGTCTTCACTGGCTTTAGAACTCATCCGGCCTTGAGAGCTAAGCTTTGAGAGCTAAGCTGCCTATCTGGAGACGGGGAAGGCAGTGCGGGACTGAGGAGAGGGCCACACCCATCAGCGGTGGCAAATGGCTACAAAACAAGAATCTGAGGGTCCAGGAAGCCCTGGCAAAAAAGGCACTGCTGGTGCAGACGAATTACCAAAGTGACTTGGGCTGGTCACGATTTCCTTGGCTCGGTTCCTGATGTGACACTGAATGATGCACTTCGAGACACCAGGGAAACAGACAGGGGTGCGGCTTCTCCAGACCACTCTGCACAGACCTTTCTCTTCGGCGGACTGCTCCCCTCCGCCCTGTGTGCACGGAGGGTCTCGACCACGCTCCACATCTCGCTTTCCACGTGGCCAAGTGCTGAATCTGGTTTCCACAAACAGCCCTCGCCACGTACCCTGTTCTGTGGGCTCTCGGCTCAGGGAAGCTCAGTAAGACCTTCAGAGAGAATCTACCAGAACCCTCACAGAGGGTGTGTTAGTGTTATAAAGCAGTCTTTAAAAGTGCAAGTCACCCATTGTGGAGGAGCAGAAGTTGGCAAAATAGAATTCCTTCCCGAGGACCAGCCTGCGGCATCTCTCCCCAAAGCTTTACCTAAGGAATTTTGCTGGCTTCCATTTCTCCGTCCATTGTAGTATATCACTGCTTCCCACCTGGGCTGGAAAGGAAAAGGGGAGGCAAAAAGGAAGGTCATGGGAAATGCAGATGGGCTGGGTTAGCACATCTTAGCACCTAACCTGTGTGCACAACTTACGCCCCTGCCTGTTAAACACAAGCTATCAGAGAAACTGCAGAAGACAGGGAGCCCTAACACGACAACACCGGGACTGGGGGGCGCGGCCAGCAGGTTCAGTCCATCGGGCTGGCCCTGCCCATGTGCTGAAATCACTGCCTGGTGCGGGGCAGCAGAACAGGGTTCTAAAGGTGGTCTCCCACCCAGGTGACCAAGCACCGTACAGTAGCAACATGACCCCCTCCAGGGTCAGGCTGTAGACATCTGTGCCATCGAGCGGACTCCCCAGGATTTCTCCACTTGCCTCAGTGCTGGGGACAGGTTTTTGTTGAAACTTTAAATAGCAGAATCGTTTGTAATTTGTAGCATAGAAGAGAATTTTTTAAAAATTTTACACAGATTAGCATAGGTGAAGGTTTAAAGTGATTCAGAGGCACAGCAGCCATTGATATTTTCCTACTAATCTATCCATAACTGTGTAAAGTTTGTAATGTTCCTATCCTATTTCATAAATAGATGTATGTTTATTATTATGTGTTTCCTACAACAACCATTGAGAATAGTTAATGATTTTTCAATAGGTCACTCATGTATAGCTCTATTTATTTTCTTTAGAAGCCACTTTGAAGATACCAAAATATAGCACAACAACTCTTGATAATCTCCTACCTCTTTTGTCTCTAACTCACTATTATTTGTCTATTTGTTTTCCTGAGAAACTATTTTGTAGATAATAATATGTAAAATGATAACCATTGATAATTTCCTACCATTTTGTCTATAATTTGCTAAGTCCCCCCTATTATTATGTTATCCTTCTTTCATTCTTTAAAATTAAAATAAATAAATAAATAAATAAAGTGATTCAGAGGCATTGGAAACCTAGAGTTTCCTTCCAGTAAAGAGCCTTTGTCCTCCTGTTCTGTCGGCTCTCAGGAGGAGGGTGGCTGGAAAGTCATTTCCATCAGCGCAGGCTGTGACTACAGATGCCAAAAGGATCAGGAGGCTGGGAGGTGGCGGACCTGGTGACCCAGGTGGGCGTCCCAGAGCTCCTCCTGCTCCCAGAGTGCGTCCCTCTCCAGTGTCACTCTGTTGAACGTGCCGGAATCCCAGGCTGCAGGTGGAGAGTTGGGGACCTGGTGTTGTTGTGTTAGGGCTCCTGCCTAAAGTTCAAATTGGCTCCTGTGTGGTATCTAGACATTCAAGAGATAGATGTGCCATATTATAGCCCGCCTCTCCTATTCCTGATGGAAGTTGCCTTCACCACTAGGGGGAGATGAAGTAGCACCGCAAGCCGGCACGATGCAACTGGAGCAAACCCTCCAAGGCCAAGGGCTTTCAGACTTTTAAAAAATTAATTTGATAACTTGAGACCATACTCTTAAGTGAAATGAATTGGACACACGTGTTTAAATATCACATTGTTTCTCTTGTGTGAGAAACAGGAAGGGTAAATAAGGACCAAAATGTGTTATAAATACTGTGAAATAAGAAGAAAACATTCATGGGAAGGGGATCTCAAAGTTTTAGAACCACGACTCATAATAAGAAATAAACTGTACAGGCTGGGGATATAGCATAGTGGTAGAGCACTTGCCTGAGGCCCTGGGTTTGATCTCCAGCACAGTAAAATCAGAATGCATTTTGCATTGCATTGCAACCTAGCATTCGCGTGGCTGTGTATACATTTATATGATGGGATTTTCATGAAAGAATATTCACCTTTGCCTGATGCACTCCAATATGTTCTTTCCTGTTCTGTTTCATTAGTGAAAGACCCTGGTTTCACACTGCCAAATTAATTCCACAACTCAAAGCAAATTAAATTTTATTCTTTTTCTTATTTATTAATTTATTTATTTAGTTGTGCTGGAGATGGAACCACCCAGGGCTTCATTCATGCTAGACAGTACTCTACTACTGAGCCTACACCCTTCCTTAGAGTATTACGTTTTGAGAGTCATTTTTTTACTAGCTCTCAGAGACAGTTTGAGAATAATAAAACAAAAAATAAAGAGGCATTTTAAATAATATTAATAAAGATGATGATAATATACAGCTAGATGCCAACATTCCAACAATTGTTTCTTTGATAAAACTCAACCCTAACCTTATTGGGAGTTGGTCCTGAGAGTCTGTATAGAATCCTGGTCACTAACCTACTTCTTCAGTCTGTTCGCAAGTCTAGCCAAGTCAGTCGGTAAGGTCAGCAGAAAAACCACCAATTTTCCTGCTCGTGCTCCTCTCTGGAATATTCCTGGTTTCAGAGATGGAGGTTTCCCAAGAAGAAAAACCAAAACAGATGCTGCTTTGATTACTAATAAGTTTTTCTGAATAAGAACAGAAAAGCTCATGTATAGGCCATGAACTAATACTCTTGTCCATCCTGTAAACATGACCTCTGGGCTACAGCTCTAGAGAATGTTAAGAAAGGCTTCTGGGGACTCACTCCACAGTGTGGTTAAAGGCTGTCACATGATCAATATGATAATAATATATTAATGTACCTAGTGAGCCTGACAAAATTAAATTGCAAAACATGAGACTTGTTATTAAGACCAGAGTACTATTCTACTGTATATAACTAACAAAATTTCTATTTGAATCATAAGTGAATCCAGTAGATTTTTCATCAATTTGAAATTGTATCCATACATACAAGTTCTTCGGAGAAACTTATTTAATTTGTAAGGACAATATTTTATATGTTCTCAAGCATAGACAGCAGAGATCATATTGTGCTTAATATGCTGTAAGGGTTGTAATTAGCAGGGGTTCTATAGTGAAGCACCATTTTGGGGGCAAGTTTTGTAACTATGATTTCTAGGAAAAGTCCAGTGATACATGTTGTTATCATTTGTTGAATGCCTTTAGTCTTTAAGTATCATTTGAATATCTCATAGGAGAATAAGAGCCTAAAGAGTGTGCTGGGGTAGCAGAAAAGCAAGTGGTAGAAGAAGAGAGAAAGAGTATCAAGAAAATTGGAAGGAAAGTGTAGGGAGTTTCTCAGAGGTACAGCCGTTCTTTCTTACCATCTTTATGTGTGTCCCCAGAAACTGTGGCCCTCTGGAAGGAATGGCATCTTGGGAGCAGCAGAGTGCAGAAATGAAAGCCCATGTGGCAGATCAGCATCATGGGTTGGATGGAGGGTCCATGGACTCAGATGCAAAAATATTGCAGTTCACTTCTCACCAGCCTCTACCTGAAAAGATTTAGTATTTTCTTCAATTATAAATATAGGTAACAAACTACAATATTAGTAGTACCTGTAACTTTATGACCAGCTAAAGTTACCAATATATTTATAACATGACAGTTGCTTTAGGTATATGGCAATATTATATATACTTTTTAAGTATTATTTTATTTAAAATTTCTTATAATTTTATCTGCCTCTACATTGTGTTATTTAATGTGTTACTAAAGAAGTAGCTGTATATCATACCACAATCTTGTTTTTTTAAATGATTACTGTATTTCAAAATAATTCATTATCTTTATAATCCTACATACTTTATTTTATTCACGTAAACATCTCATCCTGAGAAGGAGCCCCTGAGCTTCATTAGACTGCCAGAAAGGTTCAGACCTAGAGAGCTGCTGTGTCCAGTAAGTCTCTAGCCACTGACAGCAATTCTGTCTTAAGAACCTGGCTAATACCAATTTAGAGGTGCTGTAAACTACACATCCCATGTTAAGTATTTAGTGCAAAAATATTAAATGCTCCACTAATAACTGTGATATTTATTACGTATTTAAAAGATAATGTTATTGGTATATTCGATTAAATGAAATATGTTTGTGTCATGCAGCTTTCTGTCACTGTGACAAAACACCTAAGAAAAACAACTTGAAGAAAGGTTTCTTTTGGCTCACAGTTTCAGAGGTTTCAGTCCATGGTTGGCTGATTCTAGTGCTGTTATATCTGTGGTAAGGCAGAAATGTCATGGCAGAAGATCATGGCAAAGCAAAGGTGCTTACCTCATGACAGCCAGGAAGGAGAAGAGAGGGAAAGGGATAGTGGGAGAGAGAGACAGAGAGAAATACAGAGAAAGAACAAGATTTAACTTTCAAAGTCACACTCCCAGTGACCTCTTTTCTCCAACTAGGCCCCAGCTCCTAAAGTTTCCACAGCCTCCCAGTAGACCATTCGACTACGAATCTATCAATGGGTTAATCTTCTGCTGAGGTCAAGGCCCTCATGATCCAGTCACATGCCAAAAGCCTGTCCCTTAACATTGCTGCCAACCCAAATACCAAACCTTTGACACATGAGCTTTTGGGGGACATTTGTGACTCAAACCAAAATAATATTATTGAAATTAATTTCACCTACTTATTATTAGTTATTGGAATATAGGTACTCAACAGTTTAAGATGGCATGTATGGCTTGCATTGCATTTCTCTTGAGTATCCCTGGCCTAGCATCAGATCTGAGTCCCAGTCTTTGCTACATCCCATGGCCAGCAATCGTCATCATTATTTTCATTGTCATTGATCTGTTGTGCCCTAGCTCGGGGACCTTCATAAGTATCAGTTTTTTCATTTGTAAGAGTAGATAGAAAGCCAGTGGAAAAAGGATTACTGTGTTTATGCCAGATTCAGCCTTTTGGCTAATACATTTCTCATTATCAGAAAGGCTTCACCATCTTGTCTTTCATCCAAAAGTCCAACAGAAAGCCACAACCATGGCCCTTTTTCTTACTCTTCTGCTAAACATTGTGTTAATGAGCAAAATATAAGTTATACATGTGAAGGATGATAAGGGTAGAAATGACTTTAATGTCCAAGAATAAGATAAGAGAAAGGAAAAAAAATCTGTTGGAGAACAAAGAAGGTAGAAAGTAAGGCTTGAGGAATGGTGGATTATTTCTCATACTACAGTTACCACCCATCCTGTATTTTTCTGGAGCAGCCAAAGTGCCATTTGGATAGGACCCAGTCAAACCACCAGCCACCAGCACATTCCTGGAATTGGTGAATGGTCACTTACAGAGCAGTATACCCAGGACATGTCTCTAGACCAAAAACTGAAAGTGCAGCAGGTTAGCACTATTGACCAGGAAGGTTCTAATGTTTTTCTTTAGGGTGAAGGGCTGCGGAGGGACCATCTGGCCTTTTGTTCTTATGCTGATGGCGCCCTGAGCATCTAATACCAAAACCCTGAGAATGCAAAGCCTTTCCATGCACATGATCTTCTTTGACACATGAGTTTTGGGGGAACACTTGAGATTCAAGCTATAACAATATTATTGAAATCAGTTCACCTGTTATTAGTTATTTGAATATAGATACTCAACAGTTGATTTTTGAGATCATGACACAAAGGGCAGACAAGATAGTATCAGCTGCACTTTATAAAAGAAGAAGGACTAGGTATAGGTAGAGCTCTATGCCTAGAACCTGGTGGAGTAGGGACTGGCCAGACTGTGAGCTGTGGTTTCTCTACAGCTAACACTGAGGGCAGAATCATGACCCTCCACCTCCATCGCCCTACGTTTCTCGGAGTGACCTCACCAGCTTGCTGGTCTGTAAAGCTCATTACTTTCCACCTCATTTCTAACTCCTGTGCTGAGCCCGAGCTGGGCCGTTGGAAAGGCTTTCCCAGGAGCCTGCTGAGCTGCAGCCATCCCTCACTCAGCCTCTGACAGCCCCACCCTCCTGCACAAAGGCCTGCTTGTCTGGTCAAATAGAGCGGTGATTCCCACCCTTTCTAAAAACATGCCTTGCAAGACTTTCTCTGCCCTGTAAAATAGACTCACCCCTTCTTAGTTTTCTAATGTGTCTGAACGGTACCTAAAGGTGGAAAGTGTACTTTAGGTCATCAGGCTTACACCAGAGGATTCTAAGAGGCAGGGCCCAGGGCATCCACACCAGGCAGATCCCTCAACACGTGGGCACTTGGAAGACTTTGCAGGTGAAATCAGTGCTGCTCGGTGAGGTAGAAATGTCTTTTTAAGTTGCTGGCTCCAAATGAAGTGATGCTGTCTGTACCTTCAGTTCCTTAGTTCTATTTTCAGTAAGCTCAGTGATAATCCCCCGGCTCATAGCTATGGTCTCTCTCTGCCTTACAGGACTTGCCCACATGTTATAAAATAACTCATCACCCAGTATTTTGCTTCTTCCCTACCGTGGTTTTTCCAAAGAATAGGGAAAATCTTAGGATCTTCCCCAAGAAACTCCTCCCTTGAAGGGAGGAGGAGCATTCTTCATTTTGCAGAAAAATAACTTCTCAAAAATCGTAGTATCAGGGTGAAAATAAGAAGCAGAATTAAGAGTTTCCTGACTTGCAGTCTTGCAACCTTTAGCAACATCATATCTAGAACAAAAAAATTTTTAGTATATATAAAACTTAAGTAGTGAACATATAAATCAAACTCCTTAAAATTTCTAATATTCCCCAGCTTAATTAATTTTAAAATTATAGATTTTAATAACAATACATTAAATGGTACCTTTGAGGAAACTTAATATGTTCCATGTGGCTTAAGCTCCCATCTTTGTTTTTGGGAGTGAAATAAGGAATGTGAATGGAACAAACATAGGAATATTTGCTGTAGCTGTAAAAGGTAATTTATGTCACTATATCATAGAAATACCTATCACCCAATAATTTTAAAGCAACTATGAGAGTGCTTCTTTTCTGTGCAGCTGGATTATCATTCACATGGAGAAGAACCAACATTTTCTTACTTCTCCTTTACATAGAAAGGAATGTTTGGGAAAGAGTGATGAGAATTAATATAAATATAAATGTTCTTATCCTAGTAGAGCATTTCCTGTGTATTTGATAAACACTAATATGCAAAGCAAATGCTGTTTATAATGTTTAATGTCTAATGTTTTATAATCATGTATTAATAATTTGCTACTATTGCAGCTAGTTATGCCAAATCTATTTAAATCTGAGTGTGAATAATTTCTCAGGCTACTAAGGGTATTTGAAAGTAGCATTGTATAGTTATCGTGCTGTTACTTTCACAGTAAGGGGGAGGACCCTCAAATGTTTTCTCTTTGCATGCATATCTATAAATAGAGCATTAAATATTAACTATGCCATGCCTTTATTCTGCAGAATTTGAGATCAAATCTTCATATTTAAATAATATATATGAATCATAACATCCCTTGATTTAGGCTCTGGATTAATAATATCCAAATACCCAGGCCCTACTTTGAGAGGTTGATGGGAAGATGAATTAGATAAATTTTGAAATGATACTAAATTAACTCTAACCTGTGCTCAGATCAAGGTTTATCCTAGGCCCCCAAAAGTTGCATATGTATGTGTTCAGGTTTTCCCTACCTTGCCACACCTTCAGTCTTGGCAGGCCTACTTTACCCTGTAGCCAGCAAAGGTGGCTGAGGGTGTGATGCTGTAGTGGGCAGGGCTGCACTCTCCCTCTTTTCCCAACCTATGTACTTCAGGGAACATTTATGGAGTATTCTGAGTTCTTTGTTTACTAAAACTCTGCTACCTTAACAATTGTCACCTACTCGGAACTCGTTTACTGCTTGTCACAGAGCTGTGTGATAAGCATTAGTTTGCAGACAAGGACACTGAGGTCATGAGATGTTCCACGATTTTGCCAACAACACGGCCCTGAGTGATAGAGCAGAGACTCAACTCTGCTGCACGTATCGCTCTCCTCCTAATTAATATCGTTTGACCATTTGTTCTGGAAATTACTGTTCAATTTTCTGAAGCAGAGTCCAGGGAGTGGCCTAATTTTCATTTCCCAGGGTGCAGCCCTGGGATAATCAATGCTACACTTCCTCCACTGATGTCCCAGTACTGGATTTAGAGGAGGTGCCCAACAGTTGTGCCTTTTGCCTTGGCTTTGTCTTCCAAGGTGCAGCCTAGCCCAGGACCTCAAAGTCAAGCACTCAGTGAAAGTCAGTTTTCATCTTGCCTGACAATGAGCGTATATAGGGGACCTTCCATGCACAGGGTAGCAACTGGGGTAGATACAGGCTTCCCCTCACTTCCCTGCTGCCACTTCTCAGGGTCTCATTGTTTTCTGCTTGAATCCTTCAAGGGTTTCCCTTTGTGGTGGCGAACCTATGGGATGTGTGTTACTTGTGTGTCTTTTAAGATAAAAGATGTTAATATATGAGTTGTCTGTTCTAAGCTAAAACCTCAGTATTCAGGTTTAATTGCAGTGTTGTCACTTGGTGATAAATAAATGGTTTTGGGTTGCAGTTTGGACACTTGTCTCTAAAAGGTTTGTCATCATTGCACTAGACCAACATCCAGTTTTTTTGGCTGGCCTCATTTTCCTATAAAACTCCTTTTCAGAGGCGCTGAGTAGAGAAAAAAAAGAAAGTTGGGTTCTGCTGCTGGGTTTTTTTTTTTAATGAAATCCATTTTAAGAGACATGATTTTCCTTGTTTGTGTCTATATCTGTTCAACAACAAGCTCGGCTTTAATGCAATTCTGTTGCATTCAAAAAATTTAAATGTGTTTCAATCCATTGAAAAAAATTATTTGCCATGGATAATAATGAAGTAAATGTTTTCAGATCTTACAAAATCTATTTTTGTGAAGATTTGTGTCTTTGGGCTGGATTTTTAAAGGCATGATCATTGAATTTTATGTTTACCACATGAACATTCTGTGGCATTGTTCCATATTGTTCCCAGTTGAGTAGAGTAGGCTAGATCATCTAAATTGTTTGTCTGAAATAGGTGAAAAGAGAAGTTTTTTATTTATTTGGATACCTTGTTCTTTAGGTTCCCTCTACAAGGCCTCTTCTTATTTTCTTTTTTAATGAAAAAAATTATTTTTCCATACTACTCACCATTTATCTCAACTGCTGTCTTTTTAACTCAATCTAAGACATAATTTGATTTGGACTAACTCTTCTTACAATACAGTGTATAATGGCACAAATATACTTGACACATTTTTGGAGTTTGAAACTACTGATCAAAAATTGATAAAGCAATTTTTTTCTTATATGAGGAGATTTCTTTCTTCAGATCACTCTTGAGGCATTTCTCTTCTGCTTGACACAGTCTGTGCATGGATATGCATGTCACGCTATGACAGTAATTGCACGTGGCTACCCACGTGCACCGTCCACGGGGAAACGGGGAGGACTCCCACCCTCACCCAATCAGCTCAGTCGGATGCTAGAAAATCATTAGGTAATGGCTTTTGAGGTTGGCAAGCATCCAGACTGTTTGCTTAGCTTTGTTTTCACATTTTTAAAAACACTATAGTTTAGTCTGAAAAAAAAAAATTGTCTAAAATGCCAGGAAAGAATAAATGGAGCATGAATTAAAATACAATCCAGTTGTATTTCCGGTTGTTTTCCCCCATACGCACATTTTCCCCCATATGCAACAGATAACCCTACACAGGCACTGCAGTGCTATTCAGCGCCCAATCTACATGTTTACTGAATGTGTGCTGGGAGCAGTGGGAGATACAGAACAGAGTAAGGCACAGCTCTTTCAGAGAGGAGAGGGAAGGGATGCTTATAATAGGACTGAAAGCATGGATTGTAAAATGCAATCCACCTACCTCTCCTGGCCTCATTGCTGCCATTCACCAAACTGGGAAACAGGGGAAAAGTTGGTCACTCCCTTCTTGAAACATGGTGCTTTCCTGGCTTCCCTGCATTACCCAGGGCTACCACCAGCCCATACAATGTTTTGATCACAAAATAGACTGAGTCCTGGGCAGATGCAATCCCACATCTGGGTGAGCAGAACCCTTTACTATTCCTTGACACCTGGAAGAGTGGAGTTCAGGCTAGATTTCCATCCATAGTCACACTCCAGGTTAGGTGTCTCTCTCTGTGCAATGAATCAAATTAATACAAAAAATGATGGCATTCTTCTCTAAATTCTTGATGGGGCTAGACCTCCAGGGAACAATTCCTCACCCAGGCAGGAGGCAGGCCATATGTAGGCTGGGAGAGCTGTGGGGGACCCAGAGCAACTGTCAGTGATAAGTTCCTAGCATTGCTTCCTGAACTGTCTCGAAAGAAGTTGGTTCTCTCTTGTGATTTGCAAATCACAATAAGGTTCGACTAAATGACTCTGCAGTGGGGATAGAATTAAATATTAATAATAATAGTTAGGATAAATGCACCTCAAGTTGGCTTGACCTAATTTTGCCGTATGATTTTGACCTTATTTTATGCTCCTTTAAGGCTTAATTTTCTCTCTCTAAAATGGGTTAATAATAGGACTTACCTCATATGTTTGAGGTGAGGGTTAAATATGATTTTAAAATGTGTATTTTAGTACAATACTGATATTGAGTAAATGTAGATGGTCTCATTAATATTACTTATCTCAGGCTACTGTCTGACTTTTTTCCACTGTTTAACACCACTTCCTGGGGCCTTCCACTGTTCCCATACTACTGTTATCTTCCTCTCAGTTCCCAGCATCTATCCCTAATTTTTTACTTATGGATTCACTGTATGTTCTCCCAAGATTTTAAGGAAGGCTCTTGTTATTATAGGTATGAAAGCTGAGATAGAGCATCTTAAATGACAACTGAAACCAGAAAGCAAGCCAGGGTCAGATTCAGATTTTATTGTACTTTAAAGTACATTTGTCTAGGTGCTGTTCCAAGTACATTTTATAAGTGACCCCTCCTGAGAGAGAGGGCGGGGGGAGAGAGAGAGAGAGAAGGAAAATGAGAGAATGTTTTATCCCAGCTTATGGCAGGTGTCTTTCTGTTTGATTTGCGGGCCTTTCAACAAAACAAAAGGCCTTTTCTGTTCTTTTACAATCTGTGCTTTTTAAAGGTACTCAAAGGAGGAAACAAGCATACACTGGACAGGATTTGGGGTTCTGACAGAAACAGGGAGGACTCTTGGTTGCTAATTCACTCTTCAGGCAAAACTAGATGCCACTGAAAACATTCTTTCTAAATAACATTTAAATTTTTATGATTATTGCTTTTCAAATATATATAAGTAAAATTCTCAACAAGTTAGTATGTTTACAGTACTAATGAAAACTTTTAAAACCCAGTTAGGATTTCCTTTATAAGCATTTAGAGAATCTCTATGTAACAACATAGAATAACATGTTGCTGATTGCAGCTGATTTTAATGTCTTTGACCTGCTATCCCCAAATAGTTATTATGGATGTTCAAAAATAACATACTAAGTCGCAGAAATGGTATGAACTATTTAACTTCAAAAAAGGGGTCTCTTCTGGAGTCACCAAGAATTTATAATAATTAAAATGAGTAAAATAAATTAGAAGTAATGAAATTTTATGAGGTTCTTACTATGTGCATGACACCACACTGCGTACTTTTCATACATGTGTCATTTATTCTTTCCAACAACTGTTGGTAGTATAAACAACGGTTATCATCACCACACTGGTGAAGAAATTAAGGCTTAGCAAGGTTAAGAGCTTGCCTTAGCTCTCAAAGCTACTAAAGGTTAGTGCCAGATGGGTTGGGGGCCCCCACCCGGAGAGCCCCTGCGCCGTTCATTGCAAGGCACCTGGCAGCCCCCCTGTGCCTTCACAACCATCACGGGAGAGAGGCGCCAGACCTGATGGGCACAAGCATTGCAGCTGTTTTCAGATGTAATCAGATTGTTCTGAAGCAAAACCTTTGGGTACTATTTTACCTGGAATCCATACAAAGTATAGACAGTCAAAGAAATTTAGCGCTTAAACTTTACTACATATGCTTGAATTAAAAAGAAGGCAACCTGATCAGAAATTTCATAAGAATGAAATGCTCTGAGCGGAGTTAGGAATCCAAGTGGTTGAGGGCTTTCCTTTGTGTTAACTGTCAAGAGTTGAGAGCTCGTTATAGTGATAAGCTAGGACACAGCTCTAAAAGTGCTATTCAGTGCTGGATGTTTCAAATTCTTTGTCTTAAAAATGAAAGTATATTATACTCTTTCCCTTCCATTTCTCAAATGAACTATTAATACGGGAAGTCTTATTTGTGAATACATTTTGGGGGGGGTGTTGTCCGGCATTTGTTACGTTAAATAATTATCACAAAGTATTCTTTTGGAAAAATGAATCATAAATTTACTGGGGAGGGAGAAGGATCCCATGGCTCTCAGATGCTTGGCCAAATCCCACCTTATCATTATTAAAATTATTAAATCCAACACAGCCTTGTCATTATTAAAATACAGTACTCTTATTTAAGTCATACTCAAGCCAAATGATAATATGAAGCTAATCAGGACACCCGATATGAAGAATTCATGAAGCAAAATGTCACTGTAGAGAAAGGAATCCAAGGCAAACGCCTTATCTTTTTAATGCAAATAAAATAAGCTTTATTGGGCTGGGTGATTCTTACAAATACAAGGCTTAAGAAACAGATCCCTGGTGGAATCTGTGGCATTCTCTGAACAAACAGACTCAGCAATTTTTTCTGTCCCTTTCGGGTGTGCACTCTGGGGCTGGGGTGCCCCTCAATAAGACCGCTTTTCTGGGAGGGAGAAACCCGTTCGAGGAAGGGAAGAAAAGCCCAGACCGATGACTTCATGTTGTGGAGCTTCCTGACTGAAATGGGGCTGACGGATGGGGTTTTTCAAAACGTCGCTGCAACCAGATGCAAGAGTGCAGCTTGCTTACCGCATCGCGCTGCAGTCGTGTGTTTCAGGGACAGACACAAGGGGAAGTAGCAGCCAGCCCATACCCGGCCGCTGCCTGGAAGACTTTCTGCACCGAAAGGAGCCAAGAAGCTGGGGATTCCTCCTCTTCCGCCAGCCCTGGCGGAGGCTGAGTGGCAGCCCAGGTTGAGGCAGGGCAGGGAGCGGAGGGCCCCGCTCATCCTTCGGCTCTGCGGCCACCGTGTGGTCCAGGAGGCAGCCCGCATCGCGTCAGGCAAACTGGCTGAGAATCCCTTCCTCCCGCAGGAGCGCAGATCCCGGTTCAGGTGGGGACTTCCTCGGTACCGTACCTGGCTCGAGCAGAGCATGTGGGCGGCCGGCAGGAGGCATTTCTGCTTATGAAAGCCCAGAAATGAAAGCAGCAGCCGCTGCCGCCTCCGAGGGCTGCAGGGAGATCAGCACCCAGCAAATAAGAAGCAAGACCTGGCCCCAGAGGAGGAGGAGCGGCTGAGCATCTCCCGCTCCTCGCTGTCCTTTAAATGAGGACTCGTTGTCAGAGACGGAGGTGGATCCGCAGAGCCGCCGTCTCAGCTCCTGACCCAGCGCTTACATCACTAACCTGTGACAGGCACATCTCCACACCCGGTACCTGCTCTTCCAGCGGCTCCCAGCGCTAGAAGCTTCTTTGTATGCTGCAGACATGGCCAGCCAACAGGATTCGGGCTTCTTTGAGATCAGTATCAAATATTTACTGAAATCCTGGAGTAATAGTGAGTAATAAAAAAATAACCTTTTTGTTTGTTTGCTGGATTGGTGCATAAGGTTTGAGAAATCAGATCTCAACTGGACACATATGTTTGTGAGGCGAGGAAGTTTTTTTTTTCCTCTCTTCCATCTGCTGTAAAAAATCAAAATGTCAGAGATGAGGTAGTTTTGCCCAAGTGCAAACGCTGCAATGGGATTACAGTAGATTTTGTTTGCTTAAATTTTCAAGTGAAACGGCCCTTCAGAGCCTGGTGAGTGCCAGATCAAGCGTTCCAGGCTGCATTTCCTGCCTGGATGTTTATTTCATTTGTTCAGGCTTTATTTAAATATTTTGTGGAGTGTGGTTGAATCAAAGGGGTGTGGCAGGGTTTTAGAGTACTTCATAATTGTTTTAGTAGAGTATTGTCTGAAAAGAGAAAAGTACTTAATAGTTCTGAACCTAAGACTCATCTTTTTTATACAGAGGCATCTGCAGTTTACTTGGTAAATCTCTCCCTTGTCTATGTGGATGACGTTAAGAATGCTATTTGATATTTGCATTTTGAAAAACCCTGATGTCTGCTCTAGTCCAAATAACTTGCTTTTCTGAAAGGTAAACAAGTGAGGTTCTGACCCTAATCATTCAATAGACCATCAGAATATTATGGCTTCTAAAGTTCTTTTTTGTGACCTACATAAAGATTTTAGCAGTGTAGTACGCTGTCTCAAAAAGACAACATCTAAGTCATCCTGAATCCAGGATCAAATTAAAATGAGGCCTTCAGGTGATCACTGATGCCTTCTGTTTTTCTGGACGCTTTAAAAACAAAGTCTTCTCTATTTCACCAGCAGCCTTTGTACTTGCTTTAGGGTAAAAGACCAGCAGGTATTGCAGATCCTTAATTGCTTTAAATTTAAAATGTTTTCAAAGAAAATTTGATATTTCATTATGTATATACTGATGAATCTACCTGTGCTCAAAGAGGTGGCAATTATCTCCTAAACACATGACCTGGGGCCAAGATTATTCTTATGTAAACAAAACCTGAACAGAAAAACCTGGGTTGTAATTGCTTTAAGAAAAAAGCCAAAGTACTTTGAATGGGAAGGTATTGAGGGATATGCATCTCTAAATGATATCCATAAAAACCATTTTTTCCAGATCATTTTGCACCACTGTAGCAGCATGGGCCTTGTTGAAGCTGTTTTCATACCAAGTAGGAAGTGCTTTGAGAGTAATACTCTTCCCCAGACAGCATTCCTTTATTTGTTATAGCCATAAATCATTTCACTTGGATGCATTATTTGTATACTTCACACTCAAGGATGACTCTTCCTTTGTCTACCTACTCTTTGGTTAATGAAAAGAATTTGACAAACAGGGTGCCTTATGGAACAGTTTTCTTGCTGAAAAGAACTCACTTGTGAGTTTGACATCAGTATGCATGGTTTTTTCATCACAATTTGATTATTCCAGATGATATTCTTCCATCAGTTTTTATTGTGGCCTCGTGAGGTGGAAAACTATATTGTGATGATATTGAGCAAGTGGGATTTCTTTTAAAATCTCTCTCTTGTCTGGTTTCAAATGTCTAGACAAAGTATGTATTATCTCCATCCTCCCTAAACTCCTCTCCCCCTCCCTCCACACACACCATGAAATGGTTCCAAATAACTGTGCGTCTCCACGTGCAGAGGATCTGTGATCCAGTTCTGAATTCTTCAGCAAAGGTTAAACACCTATACACAATTTCTGCCCTCTATTTTAATTCTTTATTTCGGAAGAGTGATGTTGCCTGGCTCCAGGTTACTTTAGGGACCAGAATGTTTTTTAGCACTTTCTTCAAAGAATAGGAAATATGCCTTATTCTTATGGTCGTAAAGCTTGTTACAACACTTACTTGCTTACAACCTAGCATAGCTCTCATAGCTAAGTTTTACGAATCTTTAGAAGAGAGAAAGGAGTCTGTGTGGAAGACACAGTAGAAAACAGAAGCCTCGGGGTTCAACCTACTCTGTAACCTTGGCTGAGAGGATGCACTACAAGCACACAGCTCATTGCGCCTGCGCGCTCATGCCTAGGCGCACGGGTTGGAGGTGAGGCTCCTGTCCACATACTGGAATGGGGAACCAACTCCTTAATGATATGGTGGTGCTTATTTACAGAAGTGCAACAATTAAAAAGCAATAAAACAAACCATAATTATGGCTGACTGCTTTGCTAGGTGGTAGTAAGAGGAAAGGTGATTTCAGATGCATTTCCAGGTGAAGGTTTTATTTATTTATTTTTTAAAAAGCTTATTTTGGGGTAAATGTAGTTTCATACATCTTTGTCTCCTCTGGAGAATTAACAAGCCAAATAAATAAGTCAGTCAGTGCCTGGAGCGATGTATTAGCTTTCTGTTCTGTGTTCTTTTTGACACTCTCCTCTTCTTGGCACGCCCATCCTGTGCCCTTTCAGTTGAATGGAGGTGGGAATTAAAATGGCCTTGATGTCTGGAGATACTACAGTCTTCTTGGCAGACCTCCTCTGGGAGCGCTTTTCCTCCCTCTTGAGCACCCGCCGTGTTGCTCCTTCCCCACTCTTAGCCAGATCTCCAGCATCAGTGAGGCTTGCAGCTGCTGCCCCTTGGTGCCCGTGGCCATGGCCACCCAAGCCCCTCTCCTTTTGACCTGGAATACTCAGGGGTCTTCTAATGGTCGAACGCTGCTCTCCAGCTCCCTCTTCCGTCTAAGAGTCACGCGTACCAATCAGTACCCTCTTTGTGCTTCTCTCCATCCTCTCAGCTTGGTTTTCTCTTCCAGTCCTGCTTAATCTGCTCCCCTCCTCAGCATTTTGCTGATCTGTGGCCACATCTGGGCCTGTTGGCCCCCTAATATGGCAAGCCCTTGCCTAGGACACACAAGTTGGAGGGCCAGATGGACTTGGTTGTGATCTCTAGCTCCTGCAGTTGCGTGGCCTTGGGTAATTAATGAACTACTGTATGTCAAATTTCTTGTCTATAAAATGGAAGCAAAAATAACATATACCTCATAGGAGGTATTAAGAGATATTAAGATAGAACGCATTTAGCATAGTATATACCACGTTGCAAATGTTCAATAAATATAAAAATAAAAGGAATGTATTCTAATGCTCCCCTCCCTTTTAAACCAAACTTAGACCGTTTCTTCCCTTAGCCTTGGCAATCTCAGTGGATTATATTATGAGTAGTCAACACTTGCTACACCCCTGGAGAAAGGAACTCTGCGGGTACCTGCCAGAATTAATTGCTTACTTTGGTCCATTTTATTTTTTACAAATTTACTTTTTCAACTTTACCCCGTTTTTACCTCAGCTACGAAGTGCATGCCTTCTAGTAGCATGGGATTTGGCCTGTGAATCTTCTAGGTGGCAGAAAGTCACCTTGGCCTCTCAGACTTGCTACAGAAAAAAAATTAAGAGTGGGTAGTTCCGAGATATTTCACAGGGAAGGAGGGCATGCATTGTGGGACTGTGAGCCTCCCACATCAATCTGAGAGCTCTAAATGGCTTCCTTGTATTTCTTCCACCCGTGGTGCCCGGTGAGAATGAATGGGTCCAATAAATGAAGATTCAATCAGAATCCATTCAACACCTTGCTCTTCTAGGGCAGCACGTGCTCTTTTTGAAACATTTGGTAAATCTTGCCACACCCTTGAGGAAAACTTTGGCATACCCATTAACTCTTTCAGGATTTAAAATTCCATTCACAAATGGATTGCCCTGGGAAAACTGAAAGAACTCACTGCTGTAGGAAGAGATTCATATGCATTGTAACATGTCTAATGATGCTCCAGAAAAAGCTTGCATCCATTGGGAAAACCAGATTTCACATTTTTCAGGCACGTTGTAGTAAGTTAAGTTCTGTTCATAAGGGCAATACTGTATCGATCCAGCATAGAAATGCTGGTTGATATGAGGTTAGCTCTGAGGCCAGAGAAAATCATGGGCAAGTGGGAATGGAGAACACCTTGGGCTGGCTACAGAGCAGTACTTGCTGATGCTTATGCATAGCCAGCTCAACTGCAGACACACTCACCTCCCTCCTTTTAGTTGTTCTTATTTTTTGTAGTACAAGGGATGGAACCAAGGTCTTGTCCATGCTACAGGCTCTGCTGCTGAGCTGCACCTCAGCACACTTCAGTCCTTTTCATAGCAGAAGGACCCAGCAGTTTTGCAGGTGGGCATTCAGCATGGGGAGATTCTGTTCTGTCCTTGTAGCTCACATCTTCTCTCTGGTCACCATGCCTCTTTTGCTAACATACTTTACAGCCCTCATGAGAAACAAAATCCAAATCACTATCCATGTGTTCTCATCAGAAAGGGGTCAAGGAATCTGAGGCAAATCACAGATTTTATTCCTTTGTTATTCAAATATACACACAGTCCTACAATAATACATAGTAGCTGCCTCTCTGTGTCAAACATGGGTCACTGATACATGGGCAAGCACGTACAGTAATTATTTGGCCAAACTAGGACACTTTTGAGAGTGAAATTTAATAATTATGTTGGAATGCTGAGTGTCAACAGGACTGCCCTGGGTAAAGGGGGCCACATGACCACTCCGTTTATTACCTTTACTCTTTCCAATGGCCCTGTGAAGTCACATATTATATTTGACAAATGGAAAAAAAGGAGGCTTGAGAAAATTGTTTGCTCAAAGCCAGGATGCTAGTAGGTGGCATAAGTCCCTCCCCTAACCCAACTAATAATTGCATTGTTTTTATAATCACCCAAAGGACAAAAGGCTCTACAACACTGCTAGGAATTTAGTCCTCTAGGAGTACTTCGATTTTTATTGGCTGCTGGTGCCAGTTCTTAGCCTCCCCCACTCATTCTCCTTCCTGGGTACCTCTAAGCCTCAGGCCCCATCCTTCTCTGTCTGAAAATCACCATGCCCTTAGCACAGGCCTCTGAAGTTCCTAGGTGTTCACAAGCCTTCTCATCATTACTGCAAGTACTGTACTGGCAGTTCTGCCCCCGACCCCATGGTCTTTTGAG